CCACTCAGAATGTTTTCATATTTTGGCTGTTTTATCAATATATTCAATTCTGTGGGTTTGCCATTTGTCTTTTATACTCTCTCTGAAATATTCTTGGAATAAGTAGCTAATTAAGTTGTTATTAACTGTATTCTTTCCTTTGGTATAGATGGAAGAGTTAAAGTTTACTGTGCATAGCGGATGTTAAATTCTGAAATTGAAAACATTAACTATCTCAGCTTTTTCTGGGCCTTATTTCTGTTACTTAATATCCCATTAAGTAAACTGACTCTCTGTATTAGCAAGGGTTCTCTAAAGAAACAGAACTGATCATATATATATATATATATATATATATATATATATATATATATATATATATATATATATATATATATATATATATATATATATACATATACATATGTATAAAATTAGCTTAGATAGGATAGAGTCTGAGTAGTCCAACAATGGCTGCACCACACTGGAGAGGCTGAGAATCTGTTAATTGTTCAGTCCATGAGGCTGGCTGTTTCAGCAGTCCCAACTGGTGCTGAAGGCCTGAAGGATTCCTGGAGATCTGCTAGTCTTCAGTCTACATTGGAATCTGAAGAAGTTGGCTCTGCTATCAGTGAGGAATGCCTCAGCAAGATGAAACTGCCAGTGAGAGACAAAGCAAGCAGGCAAAAAGCGAAAGCTCCCTTCTGCCATGACCTTTTATATGGGCTGCCATTAGAAGGTGACACTCACATTTCGAGTGGGTCTTCCAGCTTCAAATAATCCAATCAAGAAGGTCTCTCTCAGGGCTGGAGAGATGGCTCAGCAGTTAAGAACACTGTTCTTGCAGAAGACCCGGGTTCAAATCCCAGCACTCACATGGCAGCTAACAACTGTCCTAAATCCAGTTCCAGGGGATCTAACAGCCACTTCTGTCCTCCACGGGCATTGCACAACACGGGTGCACTTACCTACACGCAGGCAATATATGCATACACATAAAATAAAAATAATAAATAAAAATATTTTAAAAAGAAGGTCTCTCTCGTTTTAGTTAAGTCTAGATCCATCCAGTTAAGTTGACAACCAAGATTAGCCGTCACACCCTCTAAGTGTGGCCCAGCTGATGTTACAGACCTCTACTCTGTACACTTCTAACTGGATGGTAGATTTTATATGGGCATTCCACCTGTATTTTGAATTGTTAGGAATTTAAAGTATAAAAATGAATAAAAAATTTCTGATTTTGAATATTTAATTAATTTCAAAAGAGAAGCAAGAAGATGAGAAAGAAGAACAGTCATAACCATTTATTTATAATGGAATGTGGAAAGATTTATAAATACATATAAACATATAATAAATAGAGTATTATGGAAACCTGGAAGTAGTGACATTCTGTCATGGGGGTGCCCATCAGTTTCACTGAGGAAGTGAAAAGCTTAGTCCAAAAGGAGGAATAGAATTATCAAAGCAGAATAAAAGGGTATATGTATCCCACAGGGAGAGAATTGCATATGCTGGCTCTTTACACCATATCTAAACCCAAATCAGCACAACCAAGTAGGGCCGTCTTTCAGCCTTTCTGGTTCAGGGTGTTTTTACAGATGGTTTGTTCAAGCTGGAATCTAACCAGGAAGCACACACTGCATTTCTTTCCTTCCTTCCTTCCTTCCTTCCTTCCTTCCTTCCTTCCTTCCTTCCTTCCTTCCTTCCTTTTTTTTTCTTTCTTTCCTTTCTTTCCTTGTGTGGTATATGTATGTGTTCATGTTAATGTGTGGGTACAAATGACAAGTGTACATATGTACATATATGTGTGGAGACTGATGTTGAGAATCTTCCCCAATTGCTTTCCATCAATTGTTTCTTCTTTTCTTTTCCTTTTTCTTTTTTTTTAGACAGGGTCTCTCATTGAACCTGGAGCTCTGGGGCTCACTCATTGATTCAGCTTGGCTGGCCAGTGAGCTCCTGGGATCCTGCTATCTCTGCCTCTTTAGCAGTGGGATTACAGGTATGTTCTGCCATGCCATGCCAAGGCTTTTCATAGCTTCTGGAGATCTGAACTCAGGTCTTCAGGCTTGGCAACAAGTACTTTACCAACTGAGCCATCTTCATCCTCCAAGCCCATTCATCTTTTCTTTACTTTTTCTTACAGAAAATTCAAACCTTAACCAATTGGAATGAAAAGTATAATGAATCTCAGAATGCCTATCACCAGTTTTCGTCATCATTAACAGATCATGTTTCATCTAAATTTCCCACAGGAGTATTATTTTAAAACAATTCTCAGACATTGTATTGTTTTATTTTTAGATACATCAGTATTGGACAGTACAATAAAAAATTCATAAAAAGCAACGTCAGTGTCATTATCACACCTAAAAGTGAACAGTAATTCTTAATAACATTAAATAGTTAAAAGCCTAGAAAATGCTGTGTGTGTGTGTGTGTGTGTGTGTATGCTCATGTAGCATGGCATGGTTGTGGAGGTTAGAGGACAACTTGCTCAATTCAATTTTTTCCCTTCCACCATGGGTTTCAGGGACTGAACTCAGATCAGGCTTCCACAGCACGTGCTTTTACCCCCTGAGCCACGTCCCTGGCAGCAAAAAGTGTCTTTTACAAATGGGTTTGTTTAAGATCAACGATGTGTATATGTTGTGCTTGGTTTGATATGTTTCTTAAATCCCTTTCAGTCTGTGATAGTTCTACCTTCCTCTCTCTCTCTTTTTTTTAATTCATATATTTGCTAGAAACACTGGGTCACTTGTCCTAGGAATCTGTCCACATTCTCAATCTGCCTGATTGCTTCTCTGTTGAGGCCTTTAATGTTTCTCTTTCCTTTCTATTTCCTATAAAGTAGAATGGTAGGAAGCAGGTTTAATGGAAAGAGGCCATTAAAAGAATGCCCATTTTCCACAGTAGTCGCGTACCTTTTTTTATTTCAATGCTGGAGACTGAGTTTAGTGGCTGACAAATACTACGAAATTGCTCTTTCACTGTGGTACACACTGAAAGTAATTTTTTTTTTGAGACTGGGTCTCATGTAGCCCAGGCTGGCCTTGAACAGCTCAGTATGTAGCTGAAGCTGGCCTTAAGTTCCTGACCATGTTGCCTCCATCTTCCAAGTGCTGAGATTACAGATGTGTGCCACCATGTCTGGCTCCTTAAAATAAATTTTATAAATTGAGTTTGGATGGGTCCTGATAGATCTTCATTGACTTATTCTCCTCTAAATTATATTTAATTTTAAAATTATTTGATATTTCCTTTTTGTATTTGTGAAAAGAAGGATGAAACCCCATGACCAGAGGAAAGATTTTACCTAATTTCCACATGCTGGAGAAAGGCTATAGCAGAATATGTCCTGGTTCTTAAGTTGCTGTTTGGGGGTATGCCTCTAATGATTCTCTGGTTTTGTGATTAGTTTTTCAATAAGATATACTTGCTGCTTGTCATAAAATGCAAAATAGGTTAATGAGAAGTTCTGTAAGTCCCTAGGATATATTGAGATCTTTCTGTTTAAAAAAATTTTGTTAATTTTTATTGTATGTGTATGAATGTATTGCCTGCTTGTATGTAAGTGCACCCGTGTCATGCATCACCCATGGACATCAGAAGAGGGTGTCCGATCCCCTAGAACTGGAGTTACAGGCAGTTGTTAGCTGCCATGTAGGTACTGAGAATTGAATCTGGGTCCTCTACAAGAGCAGTCAGTGCTGTTAATTGTTGAGCCATCTCTCCAGCCCCCAGATTCAATTCTGGAGCACTTTGGAGAAAGCAAAGAACGTTTTCAACAGAATCTCTTTAAACTGTTGCAGGACATTGTCTTTTATATAGAAAAATCGAAGTCTAAGCCCAATTAATCATTATTTGTTGTTGTTTGAGAGAGGGATTTACTATATAGCCCTGGCTGACTGTGTAGACCGGGCTCGCCTCAAATTCAGAGAGATCCATCTGCTTCTGAGTGCTGGCATTTAAAGGCATATGCCACCGTGTCTGGCTAATTATACATTTTTGAAATATTTTTCCCCCAAAAAATCTGTTTTCAAAATTAAAGTAGAAAGGGCTGGCAAGATGACTCAGAGGGCAAGAGCTAAGAGCATGTATTGCATTTGCAGAGGAGCTGAGTTTTATTCCCAGCGTACATATCAGATGGCTCACAGTCACCTGCACCTCCAGCTTCAGGAGTAACTGACATCATCTCTGGTCTACTGGGACCTCCCTACACACACACACACACACTCACACACACACACACACACACACACACTTAAGAAATTAAAAAAAATTATTTTATTTATTATTTTTATTTTACATTTATGAGTTTATTGCCTGCATATATGTAAGGGCACCCATGTTGTATAATACCCACAGAGGTCAGAAGAAGGCATCAGATCCCCTGAAATTGGAGTTATGGATGGTTGTTAGTCACCATTTGGGTGCTGCAAACTGAACCCGGGTCCTCTGTAAGAGCAGCCAGTGCTCTCAATCACTGAACCAACTCTTCAGTTCCCACACTTACAATTTTTAAAAAAATAAAAATATTAAAAAAAATTAAAAGTGGAGGGCTGGAAAGATGGCTCAGCGGTTAAAACTTGTAGATTCCACCATGAAAGAAGAGAATCTATTCCTAAAAGTTGTTCTCTGGTTTCCACATGTGTACCATGCCACATGTACACTTGTACCCATGCACATACATAATAAACACACAAACAAATTAATAAATTAAAAACAATTAAAACAATAAATTTAAAACAAAACAATAAATTAAAAACAAATGAACAATTATTTATTGAACAAACCTACAGTGTAAATAGCGTCTTGGATTCTGTTGGGAGCCATATTTCTAGTAAGGACTAAAGCAAACAGGAAGAATTGGGAAAGCTAATGAGAGGAAAAGGTGTCCCCATGGGGATGGGTAAAGAATTCAGTTCAAACTTGCTGTTAGCTTTGAGAAATGTATTATCAACAAATGGGAAAGCACTCATGTTTGTGTGTAATGAGATGAATTTTTTTTTCAGATTGATGATTACCCAGAATTTTTAAATTCAGCAGACAGAGAAATCAACCAACACATTCGTATCATCTATTCTTCAACCACTTTGAAAAAAGAGTGTGGAAAATCAAAGGGTGTTGGGAAATTCCTGTTTCCAATTCATCATGCCAATGCTAACACCAAAAAAGGTATGTAGTATATAATTAAAGAAACAAAGTCAGGGCTGAAGAGGTGGCTGAGTGATTAAGAGGTTGCTCTTGCAGAGGACCCAGGTTCAATTCCGAGCACCCACACGGTGGCTAATAACCATCCATAACTCCAGTTCCAGGGTAATCTAACACCCTCTTCTGACCTCCGTGGGCATTGCATGACATGGGTGCACTTATATACATGTAGGCAATACACTCATACACATAAAATAAAACTAATAAAATAAAATAAAAATTTTTTAAAAACAAAAAATCAGTTGCTTTATGAGGCAAAAAAGTGTATGTTCTTTGCATTGAAGATGAGCAGACCACACCCTGGAGACTGAGTTAATCATGAGCAACCAATGATTTATCAACTATGCCCAACTAATGAAACCTCTACAAAAACTCCTAAACTATGTGGTTTAGAGAGCTGATATGCTAGGAGAGCTCCAGGTTGCTGATCATGGGTACTGCTGGGAATGTGGGGTAGGTGGAGAAGGTCTGGAGAACCGTCCTCTGCTTGACTGTTCTGGATTTATATCCTTTCTAATAAACTAACAATAGGAAGAAAACCACTTTCCTGAGTTCTATGAACTGTTCTTACAAATTATTGAACCTGAAGGGGAAGGTAGGGAGGGAAAGAAAACTTTCTCTAACCTCCTAGTTCCTAAGCCTGGTTTTGAAGCTCAAGAAAAGGCTGATTAACAGGAGAAAGGAACACAAATTTTATTTATGTTAAGATTTTTATATGGCCTGGGAACCTCCATAGAGAGAGATGAAAACTCCTAAAAGAGACAGAACAAAGAGCATAGGTACTACTTCAACAAAGAATATTAAGGTATGGAGCTCTGACAAGACAATGGCAGAGGGTTGGACTAGGGGCTTTAGATGATGGGAAAATGATTAGGAGCTATTACGGAGGAAGTGAAAGGAAGACAAGGGCTACTTTAGTAAGTCTGTACTTATTCATCTCAATGCCAACCTCCAGTTTCTGGGGATAGGAATGTTCTATGGGGCAGTGGTTCTCAAGGGAAACTTATGCCCCATTTTAAAGTAGAAAGAGGGAGATTGGTGAGCCCTTCCCTTATCAGTTGTTTCTCAAGAAATTTCAGCTCAAAATGGCCAATGTGCCACTGCAGAGTATTTGGGGATGGCTAGTTCTGATTCTCTTCAAGGGAAGTCCTGTTTTATAGCTCCTGTTTAATATAGGTGGAGGGGCTAGAGAGATGGCTCAGTGGATAAGAGTGCTTACTGCTTTCCCAGAACACCAGTGTTCATTTCCCAGCACCCATGCCAGGGAAACTGGGGGAGACAGGCTTGAGCCTAGAGTGGAAGTCCTAATGATAGCCACACAGCAGGCCTGAGGCAATGGCCCGACCACTGGAGCCACGAGGAACACCTTGTGATTATCGTTCCATTTGGCAAGTCATAGGGCTGCCACTTAAGGCTCGGCATTCCCTCATCACCACCCCTTGAAATTCCAGGTTGCGTTTACCTACAGCTTGCAGCACGTGGGCATGACAACAGCATGGTCACATGATTTACTGGAACCTGGGCTGCCCATATATGGCCTAGTCCTTGTATACTTGTCTGATTGGTCCCAGAACCAGGGCTTCCCATATATGGCATAGTCATTGTATCCTTGTCTGATTGGTCCAGGAACCCTATATAAACTTGTAAATTCCTCAATAAAATAGATCTGCATCACTGCACCTGGTCTCCTGTGTCTGAATGCAGCTCTGCTGACAGTCTCCTCACCAGCCCTGGGGTCCGGATTGGGTGGTGGTGGCAACCACCGTGAAGGCAGAGTGGCTGGCCTGCCACAAGAAACAAACTGTAACTCCAGCTCCAGGGGATCTAATGCCTTTTAGTTGCTTCTGCAGGCATCTCCATACATGTGACATGCATTCACCCAGACACCCAGAAACAGACATATAATACACTCACAAAGAAAAATAATAAAAAAACTAATCTTAACAAAACAACATAGGACCTCCTTTTGCATCCCTGGGCTGCACAGTCACTGGCTCCCTGGTGCCAGCATCTTTCCTGGGTAAGTCCCACGGCACCCACTGAGCCTTGACTCCCCCAGCCTCATTTACCCTCCCAGCTCTTCCACTCCATCTCTCCTCCCGGCCTGGGTACCAGCCCATTTCTTGTCTTGGCATCCCAGACCCCTGGGCTGTCCTCTTGGCCAAGAGTCCCCACTGCTTCCTGATCCTTTGCATCCAGACCAACCCAGTTCCTCCTTGAGGTCCCCAGGAGCCCTCTGGGCCTGGTCCCGTCCCTAACTACCTTTACTTCCTTGGGCAGCTCAGCCACCAGCTTCCTAGTGCTAGCATCTTTCCTGGGTGGGTCCCGAGGCACCCGCTGCACCTTGACTCCCCCAGCCTCATTCACCCTCCCAGCTCCTCCACCCCATTTCTCCTCCTAGCCTGGTTACTGGCCCATTTCTTATTTTGGCACCCCAGGCCCCTGGACTGACTTCTTGGCCCAGAATTCCCACTGCTTTGTGATCCTTTGCATCCAGACCAACCTAATTCCTCCCTGCAGTCCTCAGGAGCCCTCTGGGCCTGGTCCCACCCTCACCTCCCTTTGTGTCCCTGGGCTGCACAGCCTCCAGCTTTCTGGTGCCAGCATTATTCCTGGGTAAGTCCTGTGGAGCTCACCGTGCCTTAACTCCCCCAGCCTCATTCACCCTCCCAGCTCCCCCACCCCATCTCTCCTCCTAGCCTAGGTACTGGCCCATTTCTTATCTTGGCACCCCAGACCCCTGGGCTGACCTCTTGGCCCAGAGTCCCCACTGCTTCCTGATCCTTTGCATCCAGATCAACCCAGTGCCTCCCAGTAGTCCCCAGGAGGCCTTGGGCCTCTTCCCATCCCCACCTCCCTTTGCATTTCTGGGTGTCACAGCCACCAGCTTCCTGGGATCAGCTTCTTTCCTGGGCCTTGCTCCCAGGCCAGCCCAGCCCCCAAATTCCTGAGGTCAGCATCTTTCCTGGAGGGATCCACACCTTAGGAGAAAGCCTGAGAGCATCTGATTGTCATCTCACTTGGGCCTCTGTGGGAACTCCTGAAGATGAAAGCAATTAGGCCACTCCAATATAAAATCAAAAGAGAGACTTTGAAGCCTAGACCAACCAGCTTCTCATGTCCAACAAGTAAACCACAAGGGCACATAAAGTTTACAAAAAGAAGCAGACTTAACCTGAACAAAGGAAGGCTTGAGTCTCACACAAGAATCAGAACTGCAAAAGAAATCTACATGTCAAAGTCACAGAGGAAAAATAATAACATGAAAAATCAAAATAATATATCCCCACTAAATATAAACTGTCGTCTAGAGGAGTACAATGAGAACCACCTAGAGATAACGTAGGACATGGAACTCAAAACAACAATTATAAACATGATAAAAGAGTTCAGTGAATTTAAAGAACACATAAACAAATCAAAGAACTGAAAGAAGATAGGGATAAACTTCTGAATGAATTCAGAAAAGAGTTAGAAACATTGAAGAATACTTGTGCTAAAATGAAGAAGGAAGTGAAACACTCAGTAAGCCTATTAGAAATGACAGGGGAAAGCCTCACCAATAGGATGAATGAAATAGAAAACAATATCAAGACTGGAAGATAAAGTGGATGAATTAGACCACTTAAGCAAAGATTATGAAAGATTTAAGAAAACACAAGAATGACATATGTAAGAATTGTGTGACATCATAAAAAGACCAAACTTAAGAATCATAGGCATACAGGAAGGAAAAGAATCTCAAGATAATGGTATGGAACAGATCTTCAACAGGATTGTAGAAGAAAATTTCCCAAAATTAAAGAAAGACATGCCCATACAAATACAAGAAGCATATAGAACACCAAATAGACAGGACCAGAAAAGAAACTCTCCATGGCACATCATAGTAAAAACACTAAACGTACAGAACAAAGAGACAATACTGAAAGTTGCAAAAGAAAAACATATAAAGGAAAACCCATCAGGATTATAGTTAACTTTTCAGTGCAAACTATGAAAGCTAGAAGAGCCTGGACCAAAGTAGTCCCAGTTCTAAATGATCACAGATGCCAACCCAGATTACTTTACCCAGCCAAAATGTCTATTACAATCGAAGGGGAAGGAACAATCTTCCATGACATAAATAGGCTGAAGGAATTCATGTCCCCAAAACCAGGCCTTCAGAGAGTTCCCGAAGAAATACAAAGAGCTGAAGAAAGGAACGACCATACCAAGGGGTTACGGAAAGAAATTCAATGAAGGTTTCACTGTGTAAATGCAAAGCTATAGCAAGAATGTGAACAGAAATAAAAATGACAGGATTCAATACACATCTTTCATTAATAACTTTAAATATCAATGGACTGAATTCCCCAGTCAAAAGAAACAGACTAGTTGAATGGATTAAAAAACGAAACCCATCTTTTTGTAGTCTGCAAGAAACTCATCTCACCCTCAAGGACAGGCACTACCTTAAGGTGAAAGGATGGAAAAAAATATACCATGTGAATGGTACTAAGAAAAAAGCACGTGTTGCAATTCTAATATCTTACAAAATAGACTTCAAACTAAAACTAATCAGAAGAAACAAAGAGGGCCACTTTATTCTGATCAGAGGAGCAATTCACCAAGAAGATATTACAAACATGAACATAAATTCACCAAACTGTGGTGCATCCAACTTCATAAAAAGAGTACTACAGATCTTTAAGACCCAGATTAATCCAAACTCATTAATAGTGGGGACTTCAATACCCCATTGTCTCCATTAGATAGGTCAACAGGATAGAGAATTAACAGAGATACATTTGAATTAAACAATACCATACATCGAATGGACCTAACAGACATCTACTGAACATTCCACCCTACCACCAAAGAATATACCTCTATTCAATGCCCCATGGAACCTTCTCCAAAATTGACCATATACTGGGGCACAAAACAAACCTCAACAAATAAAAAAAGATTGAAATAATTCC